CTGGGGGAGCGCTCCTGCCACAGGCATGGACACCAGGGCCAGCTGCCCCACAGGGCTCTGCCCTCCCGCCCAGCCCTTTGGGGACCTCCCACGGGACCAGGGAAGGGGGACATGAGCCCTGCTTCCAAAAGGGGCTGCAGGAAGCCCTGTGAGACCCCCTCCCACTGTGCCCCACGGAGCCCCAGCCACAGAGCAGGCACAGAGCCGCACGCCACCACCTCCCCCCCGCTCTTCTTTTATCCTTTTTTTTTTTTTTGGTTAAAAAAAATAAAAGAGGGGGCAGCCCCCAGTAGGGCAGCTCCAGGCATTAAATACTCTGCTGTACAGGAATAAAAGCCCGAGGGCAGGGGCACCTGCCCCTCACAGTGCTGGGTCTGCAGTCCAGGTGGGCTGGGGGCTCTGCCCCCCTCCGCCCATCACAGCACGTCCACCCGCTTGTCCCGCACCCGGCTCCGGGCTTTCGTGCGGGCTTTGAAGGCAGCCGAGTTGTAGAGGTGCTGGGAGGGGAGGGAAGGAGAGATGGGTTAGGGGGTGCCCCTCTGCTCACCCCCCCACCAGCACCCAGCGTGCTCAGGGCTCCGCGGTTGCAGGCAGGCACTCGGCTGGAGCCCATGGCAGCGCGGGAGGGGACTGCGGGCACAAATCTGGGTGGGGGCACCCACCTTCTCAAAGCGGGAGACCTTGCTGGCTTTCAGAGCAGCCGCATCCAGCACCAAGGGGGGCCCGAGGCCAAAGATCTCCCGTAGCAGCTCATTGTTCTGCGGAAGCAGGGGCCTGTCAGCACCCGCCAGCACCGGCCCAGCACCCCCCGGTGTGGCTGCCCAGCCCCTACCTGGAGGTGGTGGCGGATGCCAGAGCCCAGCACCTCTTTAAAGGCTTGGTAGGTCCGCTGGCGTGCCCAGCTGTCCAGGTACATGCACTCCAGGCCAAATCGGATGGTCTCCTCCTGGTACTCCCCGCTCTGAGCGAAGAGAGGGGCATCATCAATAACCCAGGCACCAGCCCTGCGTGTCCCCCAGGTCTTAGGAGAGAGGGCAACTGCCAGGCATCTGGGCAGCAGCCGCATGGCCACGGGCTCATCAGGGAAGGGCACCACCAGCCTCTGGTACCTCGATGAAGCGCAGGATGTCCCGGAAGATGGAGCGCTGCTTCCGTCGGTCCGTCTTGGCTCGGTACTTGCTGCTCTCGGTAGCCAGGACCTTGAGCTGGGCACGCAGGAACTCTGTATCTTGGTGGCACAAATCTTCCTGCCAAAAAAACAGGGGGGTTTGGAGAGGACGCGGCTCCGGGCACTGCCCACCACTGGCATTGCCAGGACAGGGCTGGGGGACCACCGGGGCCAGCCCCTCTGTCTGGGCACCAGCTGGTGACACCAGCCTGGCGCATCCCAATGCCATCAGTGCCAGCTCAGCCGGGACACGAGCAGGGTCCTGGTGCCAGCAGCTCCTTGCCGCTCTGCTGTCTGCCCACCCGTTGCCTCCTGCCGCCACAGCACCCCACCGTACCTCCATGTCCTGGGCCAGCTCAAAGACCAGCGCGATGGTTTCCCCGGCCAGGATGCGCAGTGCGACGCTGCTGCTGGACAGCAGCGGGGGCAGCTTCAGCCAGCGACTGGGGCAGGAAGGCAGGAGGGGAGTCAGGGGGGCCGGGTGCCACCCCAGGGGCTCCCCCCTCCGCAGCCAGCTGCCCCACACCAGCTCCCGCACCCCACTCACTTGTCCAAGACGCTCTTGATGTGGGAGGGGGGGCAGATGGTGAGGAGCAGGGACCACGACTGGAGTGCGCTGCAGTGCAGAGGGCCGTGCTGGGTGGGTGCTGAGCCCCCCTCACCTGCGCTGGGGGGGCTGAAGATGCCCTCTAAGCAGGACAGGCATGAGACCAGGTCCTGGAGGGGGGAAACCCACCTGTCAGGCCACAGCCGCCAGGAAGATGCCAAAGCAAAGCCACACACTGGGGACCAAAGGGGACTGACCCTGCCCAGGGGCACCAGGAGCTCCCCTTGGCAGGAGGGACTCCTCCACCCGGGACGCCCCATCTCTGCGAGGTGGGCTTCCCCTTCAGCTCAACTCCAAGCCGCCCTGGCACCGTGGGCCGAGGGCAGGTAGCACAGCAGCCCCCGGGGTGCCCTCCGGCAGGGGTACGGATAACACCTGGGCGCAGTTACCTCGAGGTCAGCAGCAGCAATGTAGCAACACATGCCCAGGGCTGTGGCACACTGGCAAGAGATGCGGGGAAAGGGCAGTCAGAGGAGGCAGCGGCGGGCCAGGTCAAGGGGAAGCAGGGTGAGGGTGCCCCCGCTTTACCCCACTGCTCCCCGCAGCACCCACTCCTGCCGCCCTCCTGCGGCTGCGGGGGCCCCAAAGGCATCGCCTGGGCTCTCCCCGCCGCCAAGGTGCCCGCCGTGCCCAGGAGGAACGGGGCCAGGCCTTACGCTCTGCCGGGCGCTGGGGCTGGCCGCGCTGTCTGTCAGGATGCTGACGAGCAGGGGCTTCAGGCTGCGAAACACCTCTTCCCCCTCCGGGCCGGAGCCCATCTGGAGGCAGAGGAGGGCGAGGACGGTGCCCGCCAGCGCCTGTTCCTCCCCTTTACCTGCGGGCAGCACGAGAGACCTCCCTCAGACACCGGCCGCCGGCCCCCCCGCCCCCAGCCCCC